TCCCTCCTCCCCTCCTCCCCTCCCTTTGCCCCTCCCCTGCTCTCCAGTGTGCCTGCACTTAAGGGCTCAGGATTTTCAAGAAGGAGGGAACCTTTGAGCTTATCTTACTACCTTTTATTGTAAGTGAGGAATTTGGGCCCAGAAAGCATAGGCTTTGTCCAAGAAGACGGAGGAAGTTAGTGATTTGGGCTGGGGCTAGACTTAGGAACTTGATCTGTGCTCAGCCTCTCACTATATCCTCTTACCTTCTGCTATGATTATCTCTGTGTTTGTGTTCTTGCTAACTTTTAAAAAAATCTATTGTTCAGCAGTGTTTCTCTAAAATCAACATTGAAATGACTTAAGATCTTCAGAAAGATCAAAAGTAGTACAAACAATAAACAAATTATAGCTCTGCATATAAGTATAAAATTTCAAGTGGTACAGAAGATCTTAGCTCTGTGGGAAACTTTCAACTCTCTAATTTTTCTTTGAAATAGTCAGTTCAGGTGCTACTTTGCTTTCTCCTTCTGCTGACCAGGAAGGTGATGAATTGGTATTCTTAAATTCCCAAAGCACAGTGCTAATAGATGAAAAATCACTAATTACTACTATATCCATTATTCACATGTACAGTAGATATTAATTAGGTGAGCGAATGCAACAAACGCTAGCAAACCATGATGCAAATGAATCTATACTTCTATATTAGGTTAATTGATTGCCTACAAATGGCCGTTTACTTATTAGCCTTTTGTAGAACTAATGTGTTCCCGTAATTTAATACTTGGCTCAAAGAGAGGTAACATGGACATATTAGATGTTAGTCAGTGACTTTTAAGATTACGGAATTGGCTTGGCCTCATAGTAGGTGCTATAAGAACTTAGATCTTAAGGTCCAGGTTTTGACAAGTCACATTTGTAGCTGTGTCCTTTATCTCCCATCAGGAAGATAGTATTCTCCAGCAGCTTAGAGATGGGGCCACCAACCATGACAAAGGACATGGAGACCCTCTTTCTGTGCAGTGGGGTGGGACTTTTAAGGCCACCAGGATGTGTGGAATGTCAGTGTTCACAGTTACAGTTTGGGCCATTTAAAGGAAGCTTTCCTGGCTACATTTTAATGTTGCTATAGGATAATTTGCACTGTCTTGAGAGAATGTCCTCTCAATAGAAGAAATACTGGAAGAATTGTATCAAGAGTTTAACTTCACCGGGAAATATCAAGACTATATTTCAAATTTGTCATTTCATTAATAGTCATTCATATATTTTCCTTTTCCTGCACATCTGTAATTTTCTAAATGCTTTTGTTAGTCCTTCATTTTCTAAGTCTTAAAGCTTCTAGATTTTTTAAGTTTATTTATTTATTTTGAGAGAGAGAGAGAAAGAATGAATGAGCGGAGGAGGGGCAGAGAGGGACGGTGAAAGAGAATTCTAAGCAGACTCCATGCTCAGTGCAGAGCCTGACGTGGGGCTCGATCTCATGACTTTGAAATCATGACCTGAGCTGAAATCAAGAGTTGGATACTTAACCAACTAATCACCCAGGTGCCCCAAAACTTCTAGATATTTTAAAGAGACATTTTCATCGTGTTGAATTACATAATACATATACTGTCTTCTATTTCCTTATTTTGTTACAAAGAAGCACTGGATTTTCAACTAACTCGTGATTTCTGTCTCTTCTTTGAAGGTTCATATTGGCTATCTTCCTAACAAGCAAGTCCTTGGCCTTAGCAAACTTGCGAGGTAAGTATGACTGTGTGGTGAGTAGGAAAACAGATTTGTAGGACCTGCCCTTATATGGCTAGAATCTCATAAGGCTTGCTTTCTTGACTGGTGTGGATCTAACTTGGAAGTCACATTACAACATAAAATTTATAGTCACAGAGACAAGCGTATTTGGAGGACCTGAGACACAAATCCCTTTTATTCTCACCCATCACTGCCTTTCTCCCCCACCTTCCACAACTCTTCCCACTGGCACATCTTTGAAGTCTTAGTTCATACCTTTCTCTGTAGAGCCTGGAAAGGACCAGGATGCATTCAGTCCAGCCCCCCATGTTTAAGGGTGGTTTACTAACAGTGGGTGGGGGGGAGGGGAGAGGAAACCTGAGCAGGAGTCTAATTCCACTGCACTGTTTTCAGACTTTTAATCATACTACCATTTGGGGTCTTCTGCACCTGAGTATTTGTGGGCATCTTCTGGGGTCCTGCAGCGCCATCCATTCACTTCTGGTTTGATACCTCTGCAGGCACAAAACTGTGCTGTGCCTTCCTTGGCTTTCTCAGCAATATTCCAAAAATAATACCTACTCTCCTCTCTGTTTCTCTTTTCTACTACAGTCTTATTTTCCCTTCTTTATCCTGTGGGTTCATGCCTTTTAAAAAATTCCTTTGCTACTATTTTTATTTGGGCTTTAGGAAGGAGAGGTAATATACAAGTACTGTCATCTATGTTTAAAAATCAACCTGACAATTGGTGTTCATGTATCTCTGATAGCTCAGCAACCAGTATTTTATTGCCCCTAAATATTCTTCTTTGTAATTTCTTTGTATGGAGTTAGTGAGTCCTGGGTATGGAGGAATGCTGGGAGGTGTGGTTGTGTGTGTGTTGGGAGAGAATTAAGGACAAAATGAGGTAATAGGCGATGAACATACAGTCAGGTGCCCCCCTCCCCCAAACCAAGCTAAGTTTGGATAATTTGAGATTATAGTGACCATATCAAAATTGGAATAGGGGTGCCTGGGTGGCTCAGTCAGTTAAACATCTGACTCTTGATTTCAGCTTAGGTCATAATCTCACAGTTCGTGGGTTTGAGCCCTACGTTGGGCTCTGTGCTAACAGGGCAGAACCTGCTTGGGATTCTCTCTCTCCCTCTCTCTCTGCCCCTCCCTACCTCTTTCTCTGTGTCTCAAAATAAATAAACATTAAAAAATTTGGAATAAATGAATCTTCGTGACCAAACTAACTATATATACTGTGACTCTGATGTATTCCTGCTGCTTTTCCACTTAGACAATGGGATTCATCACAATCCTGAAATGGTGGTCCAGATCTTTTTCAATTCTGTGTTGGAATCTGTAAAAACCACGCTAGCAATCTGACAGCTGCTCTACACAGCTGTTCTTTTTACTTTGTTTTCTCTTCCACTTTCTTACTCATTCCTCTTGGGATTAAGGAGAAAGTAGGTAGAAGAGAGAAATTTAACTTCCCTGGTTTCTGACCTCATTCCTGCTTAGCACTCTCCATCAGACAGGGCTACTTGGTACCATGAAAAGATGTTATTATGTCATAGCTGTAACTGCTTCACTGCAGTAAGGCTCTTAACACAAATCCAGAAACATCTTGCCACCTTTCAGTGATCTGTACCCAGTGGCAGTGCCGAGGGGTGGGTGGATGTTGGTGGTAATGGGAGGGGGCAAATAATCCTACTTTAATTTCTATTAGCAGCCCCCTCCCTAGTAACTTACTCCCAAATAATAAAGTCATGTCAACTGTGAAAGAAGTGTCTGTACTAAAATTGGTTATTCTTACTGTTTGATAAGCCACAGTCTAAGTAAAATCAGCTTAGTTTCTGTGCAAACCTAGCTGCAGGCCCAGTCTGCTGGCACCCTCCCTTTCAGCAAGACTGCCAACCCTATGCCTTTCCTACATAGAAACTTGGGCACTGCTGACGCTTGTGTTACCTCCTTTCCTAGTGAAATGGAAAGATCTCAAATAATTAAGCTTTTAGGAAATAATACAAAGAAGTTAATGATTAGCATGGGGTTCGTCTTTACACTAATAGGATTAAACTTAAGGGAAAAAAAGGAACATGAAACTAAAGAACAGAGTGTATGTTACTTTCAGATATTTGTAAAGAAAAATTTGATTGAAGTGTTTATTAAACAGGAAAGAAAGCTAAGATTTTTATCCAGTTTATTTCTTATAAGAAGTGGAATATTTAGGGAATGAAGAGTCATAAAGAAAGCTGAATGTCTTAGCAAAACTTCACTGCTCATTTTAATCTTGTATGTGAAGTTTGTTATATGCTTGCCTTTAAACGAATGACCTTTTAGTGCCAGGGAAGTCAAATATCAAACAGTAAAGCCTTAAGTAACAAGAAAATGCCAGAAGTGAGTTGATCTGGTTTAACTCTAGTAGAATTCTAGAGTAAATGTAGTTTGAATAGAAATTCCTTTTGTTGGGGCGCCTGGCTAGCTCAGTTGGTAGAGCCTGCCACTCTTGATCTTGGGGTTGTGAGTTTGAGCCCTGTGTTGGGTGTAGAGATTACTTAAAAATAAAATCTTAACAACAACAAAAAAAGAATTCATTTTGTTGCTAAATATCCATTGAACATGTATTCATTTTCTTGCCTTAGAATAACTGAGTGAACATAGTTAAATCTTGAATATAGAATTGAAGTGCCTCAGGTTAGCTGTGGTTCATCTATTTATTGAGTATCTACTGTGAAAGGGTACTGTGTCAGCCATGATGACTGCTAGAGAGAAGTGGGACACAACCACCGCCCTCACGGAGGGTGGGCAATATGAGGCAGCAGGTACCACAGAAATGCCTGGTTTGGAGCTCTGAGTTCAGAGGAGCCAAGATGACTGTGGCCTGGCAGGATTAAGGAGACCCAGAGGTGGAAAGCTGAGCAGAATTTTAAGGGAAGAGGGGCCCCTGGGTGGCTCAGTTGGTTGAGTGTCGGACTTTGGCTCAGGTCATGATCTCGAGGTTTGTGGATTTTGAGCCCCACATCCGGCTGTGCGCTGACAGCTCAGAGACTGGAGTTTGTTTCAGATTCTATGTCTGCTTCTCTCTCTGCCCCTCCCCCACTCACGCTCTGTCCCTGTCTCTCAAAAATAAAATAAATGTTGAAAAAAATTAAGAAAGAAAGACCCAGAGGTGGAAACTGAGCAGAATTTTAAGGGAAGAGGGGCCCCTGGGTGGCTCAGCCAGTTATGCATCTGACTTCATCTCAGGTCATGATCTCAGGGTTCGTGAGTTCAAGCCCCACATTGGGCTCTGTGCTGTCTTCAGATCCTCTGCCCCATTCTCTCTCTGCCCCTCCCCTGCTTACATTCTCTCAAAAATAAATAAGACATTTAAAAAAAATCCTAAAGGGAAGAGAAATTCCTTTGGGTATGGTAAATGCGTAAGCAGAGGCAAGTCGATAGAGAGATTAACTGACAGAAGTAAGAGATGTAGGCAGGGATGACTGCAAGATCGTCAGAAAGGTAGGGTGGGCATTAGATTACAAGGAGGACATTATTTTTTCCTTTTTTCTCTATTATAAATGTTTATTTTGAGAGAGCATGAGCAGAGGAGAGAGAGAGAGAGGAAGAGAGAAGCCCAAGCAGACTACACGCTGTCAGCTGTCAGTGCAGAGCCTGAGGCGGGCCTTTACCTGACAAACCAGGAGATGGTGACCAGAGCGGAAATCAAGAGTCAGATGCCCAACTGACTGAGCCACCCAGGCGCCCCTCTCTCTATTATAAAAATAACATACTTACCAGTTAAGCTTAAATACAAATGAGTGAGTAAAGGGAAAGCTTTCCTTTCTATTTCCATTACTCAAAGTTAAAACTAGACATTTCTTGTCTCTTGGCTAGAGATTGTCCTTCCAGAAAATTTCTATGCAAACACAAACATATATCACTTTAAGACTAGCAAAACAACGGGGCGCCTGGGTGGCGCAGTCGGTTAAGCGTCCGACTTCAGCCAGGTCACGATCTCACGGTCCGTGAGTTCGAGCCCCGCGTCGGGCTCTGGGCTGATGGCTCAGAGCCTGGAGCCTGTTTCCGATTCTGTGTCTCCCTCTCTCTCTGCCCCTCCCCCATTCATGCTCTGTCTCTCTCTGTCCCAAAAATAAATAAATGTTGAAAAAAAATTAAAAAAAAAAAAAAAGACTAGCAAAACAAAACAAAAAAGGGAGAGATCATACCCTACATTCTGTACTACAACTTGTGTTTTTTGTTTGTATTTTTAATTTTTTTAAGTAATCCCAAGGTGGGGGTGGGGTGGGGCTTGAACTCACATACCTGAGATCAAGGTCAGTCACATGCTCTACTGACTGAGCCAGCCAGGTGCCCCTTTGTGTTTTTGTTTTTGTTTTAATTAAAAAACCTTGAAGTCCTTTGGACACCTTTTAGTCCAGAAAGTCTGACTCTCTTTTAATGGCTACATAGTATTTCTTTAATTGTTTAATATAATTCATTTAATCAGTCTTTGATAGAGAGTTTACAGTTTAAGACTGTTGTCAAAAGAGGAGGGCACCTGTTGGGATGAGCACTGGGTGTTGTATGGAAACCAATTTGACAATAAATTTCATATTTTAAAAAAAAGTAGAAAAAATGCTTTGGTGAACATGTTTTGTATAGTGTAAATTACCGAAATTAAATTGTTGGGTTCAGGGTAGCCAAATTTTTGCTATTACTAAATTGTTCTCTAAAAAAGAGCGTATCAATTTATACTCTAATAATGGGTCAAAGGGTGTGTGTGTTTCTCCACTTTTGCCAACACTGAGTTTCATCACACTTTTTAAAAAAATTTTTTTTAATGTTTATTTATTTTTGAGAGAGCGAGAGACAGAGAGTGACAGCAAGGGAGAGGCAGAGAGAGAAAGGGAGACACAGAATCTGAAGCAGGCTCCAGGCTCCGAGCTGTCAGCACAGAGCCTGACTCAGGGCTTGAACTCACAAACCATGAGATCATGACCTGAGCCAAAGTCGGCAATCTAACTAACTAAGCCACCCAGGCGCCC